AACTGGCAAATGCTTAGCTTATCCAAAATAGAGGTCCGGTTTTTCAATTTTTATTTTTTTTTTAGAAGGAATGCTTAATGCAAGCTGGTGCAGGTCGCTTTTCACCAGCAGTAAACCGTGGAGTCAGTCAGGTAGCGCCGGTACCACCGCCAGCTCCAATCGTCCAGCATCAGCAGCAGCAGCAACAACAACAGCAGCAACAAGCCGTCGCTGCAGCTGCAGCAGCCGCTGCTGCCCAAGCTCAAATGCCGCAGCTGCAGCTGAACCAGTTAACTGAGGTCTGGCTTCATCCCTCTTTTTTCAGTCCAGTTTGCTGTTAAGCAGTTTTGTTACTCCTTTCTGAAGTCTCGAAAGTCTTTCCGAAAGAGCTTGACTGAGCTGGTTGCACGGCAGTTCTGTGTATTGGTTATTTTCAGGCACTGGTGCAGCAGCAGCGGTTTATGCTGGCTGGGAGGCAGCCGGGTCAATTCACCGCCGAAGAACTGCATGCACTGCAGCAGCTGCGACCCATTCATCTCCAAAATACCCTCATGCAACATGGTCTTCCAATGAGTAAGTCTGTGTGTTTGTGTGTGTGTGTTTTTTTTTTGTGAGATATTTGTCTGTTTTCTTCGTGAGAAAAACTATCAAAAAATCCAATCCCAGCCCTCTAAGCTTCTATTATTTTCCGTCGTGTCTCAGCTACTCCAGGGAGGGGAAAGTGAAATGATTTGCAGTCCAGAGACAGCGCTTTTTCCAGCAGCATGCCAGGACAGTCGATGTGTTTCTGAACGATTTGTCTTGCATATTGCCGCATGCAAGTAGCAGTCTTAATCAGTGCACATGCGCTCTGATACTCTTCTGTGTTAGGCTTCGAATCATGGGATACTTCGCGCAGATATGCGCACAGCAGCTTTTTTTTAGAGCAGGAATAACTTGGGGATGTATTCAGGAACACGTTCACCTGTAATGCACTTTTTTGGTCTTTTTTGTGAAGGCATTCACCTGTTTTTTTTTTGTTTTAAAAGTCGAAATGACTGCAGCTTTTCTACTCAAAAGCAGCGGCGAGTCTTTTCAGGTGTATTCCCGAATCTGGTCTCGGTATCAAACAGTGTGGCGAATTTGCTGCCTCCGAACGCATCGCTTGCCACCGCAGTAGCTGCTTCCCTGAAACCCGTACATGACCTACTACCTCCGAACGCATCACTTGCCAATGCTGCAGCTGTTGCTGCCCGGAAACGCGAGCATGACCAGGACGACATCAAGACCGATGCATATGGAAAAGTACAGCGAGGTAAGGTATTACTCACTCAACCAATACAGCTTTAGTGTTCGCAAAAGGGCAAGTGTTACACGCATAACCGCCACAAAGATATTTATTGCTTGTCGGAATAAAAATGGATGCTGCTGCACCGCTATCACCCAAACTACAGAGCGTTTTCATGCTCTTCACCATTAGTCCTGGTGCAGATCCATCAGATAGTAAAAGCTTTTGGCAGCAACAACCACTACAGAGCGTTTAACGAGCTCGGCATATCCCATCTTCGCCGCACTAGCTATGTGCTTGGACGGCAGTTCGCATATGGGCCAGCGGCAGTAAAGTTCATTCGGAGGCTAATACAGAAAGCAGTGTATAGAATAATTTTATTCGATGGGCGAAGTTTTAAAACAGTACAACTAGCTTTCTTGCTTCACATGTCGCGGTGGACGATAGGACAACACGGAGATTCCACCGACCTCAGCTACAAAGGTAGGCAAGAGCATCCGCCTCTTACCCTTGACAGTTCGCGCAAAATGGGAGCAAAAACAGTCATGGGGGCCAGACCGTGCTGCGAGTGCATTTGAGGCAAAACTAATTGTGAAGAGACAAAAGTAGTCGGTCGCATCTCCTATGCATAGCCACTTGTGCCTCTCAAATAGCACCAAAACTCTTGGGCCTAAAGGCAGGTATTGTTCTCTTAAAAACATGCGAGAAAAAGTGTGATGTTTTTTTGGCTTAAAATTTTGTGGCTAGAAGTGCCAGCTGACTTGTCAATGAACTTTTTGGAATTTTCATGTAGCCAGACAAGCTCGTGCTGCGAGGCCTACTTTTCTATGAGTCGAAAAACCACCCCTTAAGTCTGCACAAAATTTCCCCTAGTAGCTAACACTAGTAGTGCTGCAGGCACTGACCATCGTCATTGTTACAGTGCAAAATTTGTTGTCTGAATGGTTACACAACAGTATCGCATCCAGCGCACAGTGTGATGCCAATTTTGGTGAACGATTAGGGTCACGTTTGAAATTTCAATTATGTTCCACGTGGACATCGCACTATCCGCCATCTATTAAAACTGAAACCAAATTGCATTTTGGCCAGCTCATTACTAGACATTGCCTGCTACCTTACGGAGGTGGGGCTCATATATATGTATGTATAGGTATCAGCTGATATACAGTTTGTTTTGTTAGTTATGAGTGATTTCTGCGCATCGTATATTCCTCATCAAGCGAACGATCGATGACGAGGTGATGTACGTTGAAGACCGCAAATAGTAACAAAAAATGTAGGCTGGGATGGGCCTCAAATAGCTGCGCTTGGCGTTTGACTATAGCTCAGCAAAATCGAGATTATGCAATGAGCATTCGGCCATTCACTGAAGCAAAAAACACTTTTTAACATGCATGACATAAAACTTGGAGGGATACTGTACCGGTACCGTGTTAGTACGGGTGTATGGGTTATGTGTAACGCGAGTCAGTATTTTCGCAAAAGACTGTTATGCTTTGGCCCCATGCTGGCATACGATGTGAATTTTGCAATTAAATCAGTTTCCGTAATGCGTTGCTTATCTTAAATACACGAGAACGCATTATTACGAACCATCTCCCGACATGCGTATGTATGTGTGTGTGTGTGTTTGTGTATGTGTGCACCAGTTTTCAATTCGGCAGTCAGTCCGGCTAGGAGGCTAAAGTTCTGGGAACGTTGTGTTTGGCCCCGCAGCAGCTCAGGATTTATTGTTAGCTAAAAATTCACTAGACCTTGAGCTGTGATGTCAAATAAGTAGGGAGCAAACCGCATGCATGCTCCAAACTAACATTTGAAGCATGGATCCAAATTTAGTCCTCATGCGCAGAATTGTGTAAAAAGTGCATGCTCGTGTCAGTCGTCTGGGGCTCGCTTTTTTTTGATCAGTCAATGAAATACATCAACTGCTAGTTAAAAGGGCATAATAAAAAGCTGTAAAACGTGAAGCAGTAAAAAAGTTTATCCGAAAGCTGCAGGTTCGAATAAGAGGGATGGGAAAATTGCTATCTGAGCGGCCGCTGCCCTGTCTTCATTTCTTTATTCAGTATCTTGTTCCAATGATGTCTGTATTAAAAATTATGGGCTAATTTTTCAAATTCAAGAAGCGTATGACTGAGAATACGTATGTGTGAATTTTTCCAGCTGTGCCTGAATAGACTCCCGAAAATAAACTTCTGAAAGCAAATGGACACACACGAATAAACACACGCAGGGACAGCATTTTTCTCTAAGGAACCAGTCTTTCATACTTTTAGAGCCTGTACGTTAAAGGCTGAGGCATTTGGGTATATAGCTGCAAAGAGATGCATGCAGGCATAATCTCATTCAAATCTGTTTGTGCCTTTCTTGCCAAAAAAAGAAAAAGAAAAACTAGACTCGAAAAGTGGCGCAACTGACGTACAAGGAATTCCTGTGTTTAAAATATGAAAGAATGTGGGAAACTCGCAGTTATTGGGGATTTATTTCCGGGAATTTATTCGGGTAGAGTGGAAAAAGTTCACTGTTCCTTTATTTTTTCAGCCTGTTCATTTTTTCCATTCTTTTCCCTGTACTTCGTTGCTGCTGTTTTTTTCAATAATTTTCGAGTAGCGTACTTCATATCATTACTGACCTCCGAGGGGTAACACAGTTTTTGCGTGAACAAGTCCAAACGTCAGAACGAGTAGCATTAAAAAGCAGGGAAGTTCCGCTCGTCGTCGAGCAGTAGTTCTTTTTTTGCCTCCTTGGGGATTAGTTATCAAGACTATTTCGACTTTGATCGGGCCTCCTCTATTTTAAAAATCACTGAAAGAAGAGGTTGGAGGATTTATACTTAGATCAATCGTGGGAGACGCGAATGAGGCGAGGGAAGGGGAAGGAAAAGGAAAAGGGAGGGAGGCTACAAAGTTTGTCTACTTTTTGTCATCTCGTACTACATACGGATGGTGAACGGATGGGCGAAAAACCAGTTTCTGGTGCCATGTGACCCGCTGGTACAGTCTGGTGGCGGTGCTGGTTGATACTCGGCAAGGAAGAACACCAAATAATTGTTATTGTTGCTGAAGAGGTCGCGAACAGTGCTTCAAATTCAACATTTGCATTTGCGCTGTTCCCGAGCAACAAAGAAAAATATATTTATTTAGAGGATCAGTTTAGAAGGGATTTATTTGCAATTGCTAAAATTGTTGATATTATTAGAAACATCAAACTGACGTGGACTTTCATTACTGACAAATTTAAGAGATACTAGAACTATGCTCCATCCAGTAATTCATGAGCAATAAGGAAGCATACCCGTAAGCACCAACCGCGGTTAACAGTACCCTGTGCTCATGTTCGGCTGGGCTTTCATGGCTTCTCATTTATCTTGTCTGTTTTCTCGTGCAACCTGCGTATTTTTTTTTTTTTTTTT